CAAAAAGAAAAGAAAACAGCCAGACAGACACGACAGACAGACGGACAGAAAAAAAGGCAGAAAAAATGTAAAAAATTAATTCATGTTGTGCTCATTTCGTGACAACAACAACAACAGAGTGCTGCAACAACAACAACAACCACAAATGAAGCACAAAGAGTCCAAATGTCTGCTACCAAAGCTTTAACACCATCTTCAGCTCAGCAGGGCAGACCAAAGACTGAGTGCAGCCCCTCTGCTTCTTCTTCGTCAGCTTCTTGCATGGGCTTTGCGTTGAGCCACCAGAAAAAGACATTAGAAGATGCAATCAAATGAATGCGAATGATTTCATAAAGCTAATGGCACATCGAACAACAATTGTCAAGCATCGGGCATTAGCATGAGTATATATGGATGTTTATATCTTTATATAATCAGCCTTGGATTTGTCTAGAAAATGAAGTGTAAATAAAGTACTAGAAAATAAATAAGCCTAAACTGAGTCTAACTAACTTTTTTATGAGCATAAAATCTAGTTCACATAAATGAAACATTTTACATTTCAGCAGTTACAATTACATATTAAGAGTTTATTTAAGAACTGTAATAATGGCCCATTTTCCTTCTTGTGCCACAGATACATACATAGTTCTATGCTAGAAAGTCGAGTTTCACATGTCGTCCATATAATTTAGTTTGTTCTTGTTAATTGCTTTGCTAATTATCGTCGAAACGTGCTAAACATCTCTGAGTTTACTTCGGTATCTTAAATAGATTTCTACTTCCCCAGTCAAGATGTGTCGATTACAATGTTCTTGTTCTAAGTTTTACCTTCAGAAGTTCGGTCAGATGATATTATAGCCACACATATATAGCTACAGGTTATATGACCCAGATAAAAGATGCTCTGAGCTATGATTTCAAAGAAAACAAATAAAAGTATTCATAATTGTTGCCATAACGTCAAAATCCCAAAATAACTCTATATAGCCTCTAGTTATAATGATCTTCAATTAAAAGATGAAATCTCTATTTTTATCGATAATTAAATTAAATTATATCGAAAATAATAAATATGAACGTTATAGTCGAATCATGTAGATGTTTATACGTCGGATCCGTAGATTTTTTTCTATATAGACAGGTTTCTGGTTTCTTACATCAACTCGTTATCCTGATTAAAACTATCTGTTCCAAATAAATTGTTTACCTCTTTTACACAGTGATATAATTAAATCCAGATATCAGAGCTATAAAAACGAGCAGCATTACACACACACACACACACAACATTGTCTGACAGGTAAATAAAGCACATATCTACCAGCTACTTCTAAGTAGTACTTTATGGCTCAGCTAGCTGCTCCGATGTGGACAGGTAAAGGCCTCAAAAGCTTCGGCAGCAAAATGTCTGTGAAAATCAGAAAACGAAACAACTCTGACAAGAAGATGAACACGAAGTAGAAGAAGAAGAAGAACGACTGAAGACAATAACAGCTTAAAACACGAACAGAGCAGGCGACATTAAAAGTGGAAAATAAATGTAATAATGACATTTGTGGCCGTTAGATTCTTAACTGTTTGACATTTTGCGTAACCTTTTTCGTAGACATTTGGCCTTTTTTTTCTTTTTTTTTGCTTGGTTCGGTTCGGCTTGCTTACGGTGCAGCCGGCTTTTATTTGGCTTGCGCATTTGCAACTGGGCTATTGGTCTAGTGGACCGAACGGGCAAATAAAAAACTTTCAATTTCATTGGAAAAGCCGTTGTGTCTATCAAATGAGGCAAGAAATGGAAATTGCAGCTGGCTAAAGCTAGCGAAAAAATGCATGCCAAATGGATTATTCACATTGCGATCAGAAAACAAAAAGAAAAGAAACAAACGTGAAATAAAAGATTCGCAGAGCAGAAAAAAAACCGCTAAGAAATCAACCAAAGCCAATAAATAAATACGCTAACAAGCATCATTATTTTAAATAGATTAAAACTATGAGAGTTTAAGCTTTAGAGAAAATTAGTAGCCAAATGATAATCTATATAAAGCGCGATATAAGCCTAATCTTATGAGAGATTGAGATCATCATCAACTGATAAAGAGAAAGCCTAATTATACTATGCATCATTCATAAATATAGAATGAGGTTTCTTGAAAGAAGTTCGCTAAGAACAATCAATTTATAGTACAGTAGAATCTAGAGAGGATCCCCCAAGCGGATCAGTTTTTTTTTTTTTTTGATTTACACAGAAATTAAAATTATCGAGAATTATTGAGAACGAATTTTTTTCATGAGGATAGATTTTTTTTTTTGGTTATCGCGATTTTCGATTTAGCGGGGTACGAATTATCGAGACTCGACATTTATGATGTAAGAAAAATAAATTCTCATGGTATATTCCCTATAAGAAAATAATTTAAGAATTCTAATTTAATGTATACCCATTAAAAGAAATCATTTTATTTCTATAACGTATAACACTAACTACAGAATTTATAGGAATTTGCTAGAAAATAATTTCACAAGAACGTAAAAACGTTGTCAAAGTTCACACCGAAATCTCCGCCTAATTTTAAATGAGAGCATTGCAAACGTGATGAAAATACTAATGCAATCTAACTGAAAGGGCATTCGGTAACAATTAAATTGTAGAGGCTTGAAGCAAAAACAGCTATAAACAAGCATATATCTTGTAGAAGACGAGGCTAACTATGGAATGCTCCGTTGGCCAGCGGCGACGAGAACACGACCTGGCGACCGAGACGTCAAGACGGAGGAGACGACGCACTTATTGACGTAGCTAAACACATTAGCCAGTGGCTGCCTGGCGTCACTTCATTGTCGTTTGAGGGGGGGCCTCGGCTCCAGCTTCGGCTCTGGCTCTGGCTCTGGCCGCTGCCGGTGTGATGGCGCAAACAGTGTTGCAAATGACCCAATTATCCACTGACCCACTCGAAGCGCGTCCCAAACGGTTGGACGATTGCCGGCACCGGGTTGTGCAAGACTAAGAGAAAGAGCAAAAGCAACAGACTGACAGAGGGCGGGAGAGAGAAAGAGGGAAAAGCCGATGTCAGCAAAGCTGTTGAAAGAAGCGACTTAGAATATAAGCGGGCTCTTTAGGAATCAACCGCCTTATTTCGCTGCTGCTGCTGCTGCTGCTGCTGGTGGTGCTGGTGGTGCTGCTGTTGCTGTTGTTATTGCCGGTCAGCAATTATTGTAGCCAAATGAATAGAAGAAAATGACGAGACCTTAAACCTAAAATAGAGACATTAATTAGCCAAATGACCGGCAATTTGTGGACGCACAAAAAGAAATTAATTCGCCAGTTACGGTTGTTACAGCGGATCTCTGCGAACATTTTCAATAAGAGCTGCCGCCGTTGCTCTCAGTGGAAATAGAAGCGACACCAGGTGAAAGGTAGCCGCACATACAGAAAGAGAGCGAGAGAGATAGAGATAGTTAGAAAGAGAGAGAGATGGTTCAAAGTTTGCACAGCAATTCAAAGTTGGGTGGCTGTAAAAATCATAAAAAATTACACAAACAAAAACAAAACAAAAATAGTTCGTTCGCTGGGCTGGCTAATGTTTTGGAAAGTTCATTCTGAAGTGCAGCCCCGGTCCCAAGATCGCTGCTCCAGTGTTGAGTAGTGTATGTTTATTTGTCAGTCTCTACGGAGTCCGGACTTGCCTATTTGTTTGTCTGTTTGTTTATTTTGAAATCGTCGACAACGGCTCGAACGTGCTCCATTAGAAATCTTGTGGCTGACTGAGCCACTGAGGAAAACAAACTTTTCGGGGCTATCAAAATAGTAATCAGATTTTTTTTTTATCTTTTTTCTTTCATTTTGCCTTTGCCTTTGCCTTTTGTTTGAACACTTTTCCACAGACAATCAATGCTTTTTCTTTCTTTCGTTTATTTATATATTTTATTGAGCTCTCGTTCACGCTTAATCAAAATAAATAATAATTGCAGTATTGTGCGAGCAACAAGAATCAAACTTAATAAAGATGCTTAACGCTAAATGGAATGAGAGTTTGATTTGAAGTACAATGTATGTATGTATATAATAATAATAATAATAGTAATAGTAATGTTTTAAAGAAAACGCCATCATTTTGTTATTTGTGCAAAAACAAGTATAGATGATAAACATACATTTGAGCTTATTTTAACACAATTACGATTACAATTACAATTACAAGCTAGTGAAAATCCTAATTAAATAAATTAGTTGCGAGCAATAATTTTTCTTTTAATGTGGGGAATGGTAACAAAAGCAGCCGGCACCATACCGGGCGGCACCGCCATTGGCCGGAACTCGGCTTGATCGTGGAAAACTGTGACATTTTTCCAGCATGCCAAGCAACAGCAGCAACAGCAGCAACATCAGCAATGGAAAACTCTAGACAAGCAATGCAATTTCTGTGCCCGCTCGTGAGTTTCTTTTAATTAAAAAAGGCGAAAACTTTTACTCGGCGCCAACTGCTAAATAAGCAGGTAACTAGGGCTACTGCTGCTACTGCTGTTGTCTTAGATTTTATGCTCAGTGATCAGAGCCTCGCATAATTGGAAAAAGTGTCTTACAAATTAAAAATCGCGGCTCCATTGATGAGCCGACAAACCTTAACCTTCATTAAAACAGCTGCAAAGATGCGAAAAGCCGACCCAAGAATCAATTTCAAATGAGTGCTAATTCAGTCAAGTGAATAATAGGTTAATGCAGATCCAAAGATAATAGCGAATGCAATGAATATATTCATTTCAATGAATACTGAATACTCGAAAGCATAAATTGAATGATTCGAAAATCTTATACTTGAAATGAATGATAATTAATAAGAAAATATATAGAGCTAGCAAATATATGATAAATGTTAAATACAAACTTTTATGCATATAGCATACAAATTAAATGCAAGAAAAAAAGTATAAAAAAATAAAACCAAAACTTTTAACACGAAATATAAATAAATCAATTCATGCTGATAGTATTATAAATTGACGATTCCAAAAGACAACCCTAAATGTATTTTTATATATTGAGAACATATAATATTATGATCTGAACTCGATTCGAGTACAACATTTGCCAGAGATCAGTGCGTGTGATTTGTCTCAACAGCATTTTCGATTTAATTAAATTCGAAATATATAAATAACTTAGATAACTAAGAAAAGTTCACTTCGTAGCGCTCTATCAAATAAATCTTATCTAAAATACAAAGAAACACACCGAATACGAAAACTACAAATACCCAAAAATACAAATTTCAAATAAGATATATGTTAATTAGGAACGTGACTTAATTAGAAACAAATTATTAGCGCAGCAAGGCAAACAATTGAGGTCACAAAAACCAAGAGCCAAACGCGAACAGCAAAAATGCTAAGAAAGTGAAACAAATATATATGTATATACATAAACATTTATGTTAAGCATTAAAATCAATATTTCCTGAAGCATAACTGAATTGATTACCCTCGATTTTCTTGACCAATTATTTACGTTGCCATCTAATTATGTCTAACAAATAGATCACCGATTTAAGCTAGTCAATTATGGATTGTTTTCTATGTTTCGGCTCAATCTCAAAAGTCTTAAATACTAAACGTTTATGCACAAATAACAAAAGAGAGCAGAAAAAAAAAACTAAAACAATTGCCAGAAAATGTTTAGCTTTTTGTATGAAGTATGCGTCATTGCTTATGATATATATAACTATATATATATATATACATATATATATTTATATATGCGGTATATAGAGTGTAACTGATAGATCTACACACTGTTGCAGCTGTGTGTAGTATTCGCATCTACAATTTATTTATTTATTTATTTTTTTTTTTAGCTGGGCCTCTTGTCAAGGCACGATTTCTATTAGTTTTGCGGCTAAAAATCTGCATAAGAGTTTTCGTTGTTGATGTTGCTGCTGTTGTCGTTGTTGTTGTGGTTGTTGTTGATGTTGTCTTTGTGGTTGAGTCGGCGCTTGTCTGAGCAAAAACACAGCGATTCCGCCGCAGTGAAAGTGAAAGTTGTAGCATGTACACATGCATATATACCTATATGTTTATATGTATATTTAAATATATATGTATATATATTTATATAGACAGATCTACAAGGTTTCCAGCGCAGACATCTTCAGTCATATCGCCAATTGTTGGCGTTGTTGTTGCGCCCATGGCGCATTCATTTCAATGTCTCATTTCATTTTTATTTATTTATTTTTTTTTTGTTTCTTTTTCCACTACGTTTCGTTTCAATTTCTCTTCAGCCGACAATTCGCTTCATTTGTGGGTTAACGGTTTTGGTTATGCAACGCACACGCCCACGCAAACGCAACCCACATGAAAACTGTTTGGCAATTAGCTCAAATTTCCAATGCGACGCCAAAGCGTGTCGATCGTAAATCCCAACAGGGAAATTTAACAAAAATGAACAACAACAACAACAACAATGACAACAGCAACAACAACAGCTGCAGCAACAGCCAAATGGTTTCGTGGGCTTTTGGTTTTGGTTTGGATTTCGTTGATGTGTGATTAGTTTATCGTCACGAGATGGTGGAAAATGCTGGCTTCAATTTTCCAACCGTGCCCAGTATTAAAGTTGTGGGTGTGGCATTGCTATCGCCGCCTTTGCCAGCTGTCATTTGGCTTGCGATATTGTCGCTGCTGCTGCTGCTGTTGTTGTTGTTGTTGTCGCTTTTGGCGTTGCCGTTGCCGTTGCCGTTGCTGCACCACACCAAGTCAAAGCAATTGTTGTAAAATTGTTGCTGCTGTGCCGTTGCCTTGCATTCAGCATTGCTGTTGCTGCTGCTGCTGCTGTCGCTCCTCTTGTTGTTGTTGCAGTCTAGGAGAAAATCCAAAGCCGTGGGCGTCACAAAATTTGTATCCATCAGATTCAAATGCTCAAAATTGAAGACAAGCGCTTCAGAGCTATAGCTGCCAGCACTATCCAAGCCACTGTCGCTGGCAGATGCTGAGCAGCTGTCACTGTCGCCAGCAATGCCCTCGCCACGACAGCCCAGACCGCCGCCACTGCCACTGCCGCTGCCGCTGCTGCTGCTGGCGTCCGCCTCATTTGGCGGAGGTTCGTTGACGGCGCATGTCTCGATCAGCTTGCGCGAAATCTCGTTGATGCTCTCGTCGAGCAGCGTTTCGGCTGCGTTGGCAGCAGCCGCAGTGCCAAAGCAGCTAGCAAACAGATCGTTGGCAATATTCATGCCGCTTAGGATGTCGCCATAGCCCGAGTCGCTCGAGTCGCTCAGATACAATGCCGGAGCTGTTGTTGTAGCCGTTGCCGTTGCTGTTGCTGTTGTTGTTGCTGATGATGTGTGGGCGTGACTGCTGCGTTGTGAGCCAATGACGCCCACAATTTCGGCGCGACTGCTGTCGCCGGTGATGGGCGCAAAATGTTCCGTCTCATCAAAATTGTTAGGCAGCGTCTGGGAGCAAATCGAGCTGGCGCATGAGCTATCCGAGTGCGTGGACGTTGACGAATTGCTCGAGTTACTTGCGCCCGGCCCGCTGGAGGAGGCATCCGACAGCGAGCGACGCAACGGATAGTCCCACAGTGAACGCAAAGGATCGCAGTCGCGGCAGAAGCAAACGCCATGGCTATGATCATGCTGCATGCCTCGATCTCTGGCCATGGGCAGCAACTGTGCATAGCTGACTGCATTAAGGGCCTGATGATGATGAGGATGGGGATGTGCCAGTTGCGGATGGGGATGATGATGGGGATGATGTTGAGGTTGATGTTGATACTGTTGTTGTTGTTGTTGATGTTGCTGCTGTTGTTGCTGCTGCTGCTGCAGTTTCGGCTGTAAATCCGCATCCATTTTCAGCAAAACTCCATTAGCGGGCTTGCGATCCTTTTTGCGACGCTTGCGCGGCTTTATGATGCGCGGCAGACAGGTGTCCGTCACGGACGACGTTTGCTCCTGGCCAGTGCAATGGCTGTTGCTGCCGCTGCTGCTGCTACTACTGCTACTGCTGCTGCTGCTGCTGTTGTTGTTGTTGTTGTGGTTGCCAATGCTGTTTAGGGTCTTCTGCTGCTCCTGGGCACTGAGCACTGCTGGAGCCGAATTTTGATAGCGCAACATGCGTGATTTGTCCGTCAATTGAAAATTGTTTACGCGCATGGGCAGCTGATAGCTGGCAGCATGCGCCGGCCAGGATTGCGGCGACAACTGCTGGTGGTGCAACTGCACATGATGTTGTTTGACGTTCTGGAGCAACGGTTGTCCCTGCGCATGCACCGCCAGCTGGGACATGGACTGTGCACCAGCGGCCGGCCACGGCTTGCCCGACTTGCGGAGCAGGCGATGACGCTGCGCTGGGGTTAGGTGACTGCAGGCATTCGATATGAGCGGTATGCCGGCGCACTCATTGATGCGCTGCTGATTCACCAGCAGCTGTTGAGGCTGTGGCACTGCCGCTGCCCCTGCGCCTGATCCTGCTCCCGCAGATGCATGGTATATGCCATGGTGCTGCAGTTGCGGATGCAAATTAAAGCAGGCAGCAGGAGCTGTGGGTTGCGCAGCATTCCAATGTGCGTGCGGCTGTAGGGATTGATGCTGCTGCTGCTGCTGTTGACGCGTGGGAAGCGCGTGGAGCGCGTATCTAGCGAACTGGCAACCGTTTGCGTTTTCTGGTGCACGATAAACGGCCACATGCGATCTCATAATCCTGCCTAGTTCGTATCTCACTTGGTAGCTGCGTCAGTTGTCCTGGTCTACCGTGCGTATCGCACATCACTTGGCCGCGTTTGCAATTTCAACACTTCAATGCATGCAGACGGCCATTGCGAAAAACATTTCCACACGCGGCAACAAAAATTCGCACGAAATGAAAAGCGTATGAAAAGTGAACTGCATAAAGGAAACTGGCACAACTGTTGATCGCCCAGCCAGCAGCAACTGTTGCCGCTGTTGATGTTGTCGAAATTACGAAACACTTGGCGCAGACGCAGCCAGCGACGGGAGCGAGACAAGACGAGACGGCGCGACAGTTAATAAACTCGTTTCGACTACGCTCAACTACAGACTTGAAGCGTCCGCTCGCGAGCCAAGCTTGTGGCAGACTGAAGCCAGTGAATTCAATTTCATTCGTGCACGAGCTTTGTCGGCCTAACAGTAAACGCACTTGAAGCCGTTATGCCCGCGCTTACGCTCTCACTCTCCCTATCTGTTACTCTCACACATACACACACAATCTTTGGCGCTTACTCTCTTTTAAGCTCAGACTCTCTCTCTTTCTCTCTCACTCTGTAAAGCTGCTGTTGCTGCAGCTCGGGCCAACGTCCAGCAGCTTTGCATGTCGAGGTCATGCAGTGTTGCTTTTGTGTTGCCATTGGTGGTGTTGTATGTTAGTTGCGTTGCATATGATTTTGGCGCTTACATTCAATTAAATTATAATTGATGTCTGCCTCATGCTTATGCTATTGCCATTATTATTAAGAAAAAACCATGAGTTTGAACTTTAATTGCCCAATTGAGCGATAGCAAACCGGCTGCGCTTTTAACCATCCTGTCAACCATGGCTTGCATTACACAAAAAGAAAATATGATTGATGTGCCGATAATTAAATACTCTTGCACGAAAATCGCAATACGTTGTCAAATATTATCTGTACATATTACTATATGTTTAATTGATCTACAACATAATAAGTAATTATAAACATATACCCTCGCAATAAATGCGCAACTGATATCTGTACATTTAGGGGGAAGAATAAAAACAAACAATGAGCATATGTTTTGATTCTGTACAAAGCAATTTTTGTATATACAGTAAATGATATGTTCCGGTCACAGTTTCAATGGAAATAACATGACATTGTATTGCTAACTATTTATAAGTTAAATATATTGCTTAAAGTAGTGCAACCAATTTAGATTATATCATTAATTTGTTTAAAACTTATTCACCTTAACACCTCTATACTAAATGACTAAAACGAAGTTAAGCAAATTTGTTGCTTAATGCATATAACAAAAGAGCCTCAACTCAATTCGTCATTCTGAATTAAGATTATATATGTATTTGTATACGAATCTGTCCTTTAATGAGTTGCAAATTTTATTGCTCAGTCGTAATACTGTCTGTAAGGGTATTCACAAAAAATATATATCGACATTTACAACACAAGAGAACTTTCTCTTTTCACGAGCCTTTTGTAACTTTCCTTTTTGCCCATATGCTCGAATACACAGACAGGAGGTCGCACAAACATTCACTCACTCACACGCGCACCCACACAAATACATTTTTAAATTTATAGAAAGAGCAGCACTCACATGATAAGTTGTCCAGCATGTGATTCAACAATTTCGTCGTTCCATTTGGCTCATTATAGATATTCATGAACTCCTTTTGCAGCGGATTGCCCATCAGACCGAGGATGACCAGATGAAACAGCTTGCCAATTTCATATGGCAGCACACGTAAAAAGTTATTGTTCAATAACAGCTCTCTGTAAATGTAAACAAATCAAATTAGATTAGCATTTACTTAGATTAGCATTTGTAACAAATGTGGATGAAGCTATCCCACCTCAGCTGTATGAGCTCGCCCAGCTCAGCGGGCAGACTGCGTAACTTGTTGCTGGACAAGTCAAGTGTTCGCAGATTAACTAACATGCCCACATCCGCTGGCAATCGAAGCAGCTGGTTGTCATTCAGATAGAGGGCTGTCAGATGCTCAAACTCCCACAATGTGGGACTGATATTACGCACGCAGCCTGAAAGCAATTAACAAAGGATTATTAATGATTGGATGATTATTAAATGTTTTTTTTTTTTTTTTATTATTTTTTTTTTTACAATTTAACATACCCGTTATTTCGAGCCCAGTCCAATTTGTCTTCTTCCCAGCGGCAATATCCTCGGCAGACAGAAATATCTGCTGCCGTCTATTCGTGCTGTCATATTTGTCTTTGTTACGAGACATTTTATAGTAATTTCCTGTTCCTGAATAGTGGAGAAACACCGTCAGTTATTTTTGACACTTGTTGGTTAGGGGAAGTTGCGCTATGGCTCTTGTTGTATTTGTTTTGGTTTTGGTTTCATTTTAGCAAGTTAGGGCTCATGTTAGGAGACAAAACCCGGCTAGGCAACGGCAACGGCAACGGCAACAAAAATTACGTACATATATGTTTGCATATGCACATATATATATAATTTGTTAAATCATTGCATTTCCCTTGCAGAAAGTGTATTTGTCATTGTGTGAGCAATACATTAAGTGATACATGTTCTTAATGAGAGCTGAGTCTCTTAATTATACATCTTTGGATAGATTTATCAGACTAAATTATCGGACAAAACAAACCAACTGGCCATCGACATTAATATATTACTATTTGATTTTTCTTATCAGACCCCCATTTTTTCCTATTAATGATGAATCATATGCCCTTCTACAATATGTAGTTGATTTTAATTCAATTATTTACAACACTTAGTTGAAGGCCGTTCACACATCTGCAAGGGTATTTAATCTTCGGTAATCCAAAGATAAATGTTTTACTGTTTTTTTTTATGAATGTAGAGGAAGGATGTTGAAACAAATCATAACCTTTCATAATAACCGCCTGATGATTTAAGCGTCTCTGCAAAATATTAACAAAGTGATTGAATTATTATTTGTATTAGTAAACAAAAACACAGACAAACATTCGCAAACAAAAATCATACACAGATGTTTAAGAACAAAAGGCAAAGTAAAAAAAATTCTTTTACGATTTTGCAAGCGCGCGCGCAAAATTCATATCAATTTTTATCTATGTATATATAAATAAATACATACACACATCAAGATGTGCATTAGTATGTATTTATGTAGTGGTAAGAAACAATTCAAATGTCTTTTGGTGGTGAAGGCAATGGATAAATACGATTTCAATGCAAATTACAGCTAGGTTAAGGCGGCAAAGCTTTATGTATATATACATAAATACATATATATATATATATATAATATGTACATATACATATTTACATACATACAAATCTGTATAATGTTCACATCGCGTTTTAGGTAAAAAGGCTGCGGATTTTGAGCGGGGTAGTGAAGAAGACACGAATTAATATTAATTATACCCAGCACTCTTTACCTATTATTTATATTCTTATGTTAGTTCTATCTTGCTCAGTTCTGTTAATTGAGTTTTATTTCTTGCCGCCTCTTCACTCGCGCCTTCTCATTGAATTACCAAACAATTTTGAATACTAAACGGTTGATTTTCCTTCTTTTTTTTTTTAGTTTTTTGTTGTTATTCTTGTTCTTTGGTGTATTTGTACAAATGTTGTTATTGACTGAAATGCGCGAAACTATAAATTTTGTACAAAAGCGACGAAATTGCTTATTCTCTTTCTCGTTTTGGGTCGCTTTTTCTTTTTTGCGCGTTTGCCTTCCATTTATTTATTGTGCGATTCGTTTTCATAGTCGCTTCTTGTTTTTGTATACATGTTGGCTTGGAGTTGCCACTTATTGTCCGGAGAGTATATGTATATTGCAAATGGGAAGAAATTGGATATAACTATACATTAAATTTAATATTTAACAATAACGATTTTGAAAGATATTTCAAATATTTTTTATTTACACAAATAATTTACAACAAACTGATTTAATCAAAACAAAACAAGCACGTATAAACACTCAAGAAACATATACACACACACATGCACAAAGTTACGGAAAGATGCACCATGCATATGTATACATACAAACACAATTAAATTTCTTATGTGCTTTTTCAGCCACTTTATATGGTTGCGTTTTAAAAATAATATTCTTTCTTTTGCTGGCAACTATTTTTCTTTATATTCGTGACTTAGCTGCGACAAACTTTTCTCTTTTCGCATATCTCTTGCACACGCTCTTTTACACTATGTGACCAAAGCGAAGAAGCAGAAAAACGCGAAATCGCAGTATGAACATATTTATTTGATCGCGACTCTTAAAATCTCTATGGCTCATAAATTGATCATATTGAGAAATGCTGGTCACACTAAGAAAAAATATATAAAGCTTTGAAGATCCTGTAGTCCAAATAAACATCAATAAACAAGTTAAAGCTCTTAATATTAATTTCTATTCTATTAACATGATCAATGATGAATTACAAATTAATGGCAAATAATGGCATAATTATCTTATTGAAATTATTTGTTTCATATTTATTCCATATTAGCATACATATACTTTAATTAAACTTAGTTTATCATTTATTTATTTATTTGTTTTTTTATTGCATGCGTAAGCAATGAAGTAATGATTACGAAGATGTTTTCGGATGTACATAGATTAGGTGATACAACGATATATATATGTGTGCATGTAGGTCAGTAATCATCCTACTTCGATGCAGAAGCGGCTGTTATGACAAACAAACAGAAGACTTCTTCTTTCCAACACTAAATCACTGACCAGAGACTAAATCAAGGCGAGCAAGCTTAGCAAGCTTGTCTTTGTAAAAGCCTCTCTCGAAATTTCTATAACCATGAAAGCAGACATTTTCTTTAGATAACAGTTCAGATAGATAAGAATCTAAATAAGGTAGGAAATTTCGAGAATAAATTAAAAAACGACAGTTAATATAATTTATAATTGTTGACATTTAGCTTTTTTCGGCTCAAAGGTAACTCTTTTTTAAGTTACGTTTTGACGTTTTAGTATTTTAGTATTTATAAGTATTTTACTACAGACACCCTATGGCTACACTGTCTAATACAAATTCTATGCAACTATATTCCATTAGTTTTAACAAACCGAGTGCTAGAATGGCGCGTTGCTTGACAGAAGCTTTAATAAAATATCAAACGGCCGAGGAGGCCAAAATCTTAAGCATAGCGGATGAATTGGATGAGCCTAGCAAATCACTAGTGCGCGAATTGTATGAACCACTTGTAAGTACAAAATCAAATGAGTCAATTTAGTGTGGACGAAAATCTCTACCATTTGTTAATTGCAGAAAATAACAAGCGAGGATTTGTCTCGCGAATACAGTGATTCCGATAAAAGGAAACTATGTTTACGCACTAAAGTTCGTGTTAATATGACTCTCTTCAACTGTGTGTGGGATGCAAAGCGACGCTTGGATAAAAAAGGACGCCTAGTCAACCGCTCGGAGCGTTTCATCAATGCGATGCTGGTGAAGGCGGTGGCCAAGAAAATGGTATTACCTTACACCGAAGAGGAGATAGAAAAGTGTAATTATATTAGACGTTGCCAACTGAAGAAGGAGAACAATCGTAGACTTAATCGCTGGAATTTGGAATCTACGCAAGAGAACGTGCTCGATTGCAGCCATCTGAGTTCATCTCTGTTGCCGGCGCAAGTAACCAATCAATCGCAGTCTAACAGCCAGCAACAATCAGTAGAATTGCAATTGATGAAATATCCAGCTAATTTGGATTCTCAAAACACTGAATCTACGCTAGGGATTTTAACAAATGGTCCGGAAATGTGGGTTATTGAAGAATCCCCAGCAGCGGAAAATATATCAGCTTCAGAGATCGTGGAGAGTTTAAGTATGCCAGATCTTGGACCAGACACAGATTGGGTCCACGCTGCTGCACAAATCAATACAGAATCCATGACCATTGGCACTCTGGAGTTTGATTTGCCAACTGATAGCCAACCCATAATCTCGAATTCTGAGAATTATGACAACTTCAATACCCAGGTTCCGGCCACGTCCACCCAAACTCAGCCTCAGCCTCAATCTCAATGTACCGAACCATTTCTGTAAATTAATTACAATAAGTTAACCAAATTTGTTGAAGTTTCCAAAAATCTTAAGAGATATTTATTATTGTGCGTTTTGAGTATAAAAATTTCCTTAAAACGTCATACATTATATAATTTACATATACATATATATTTATTTATTTCAATGCATTATCCTAGTTAAAATCGCGCGTGTTCTTAAATGTTCTGTATTCTATTTACCAATTGTTGTACAGTAAAAACTTATGCATAAATATATATAAATGTGTGTTACGAAATTAAAATTAATATCCTTGCAGTGGATTAATAGTTGTTCTTAGTTTTGGGCTATAAAAATTGTCAATTATTATTTTTACTTTATGCTTATGATATGAACATATTTTTGTTACAAAACATATATATTTACACTTACGATATATACAAAATTGTGTTGCCGGGTCTATTGGGAATTCGGGATAACCCAAAACGGAATTGCTTGCATGATTATCTCAGGCGCAGTGCAAGGATTTGTAATGGACTTCGGCATGCCGAAGGATAATATTCGTCAACGGAAGTATGTACAAAGATTTACATCAACACAACATAAATACAATTAAGCCTAATAGTCGTAATTGCTGGGTATCAACTGTACAGGTTGCAATAGATTTAGCAGCCCCGTTTCCGGGACCAGCTACTGTTATGGGAAGTGATCAAAGATGAACTGTTCCATGAACAGTGATTCCGTATGCTAGTTGGATGAGTTTTCGCCCAGCTCGCTCACAGAGATGTGCATCTTCTCCTCATCGCCGCTGTCCTCCTCGTCGTCCTCCTCCTCCTCCGTTAGTTCCTCATCGTCCTCTTCGGTCAATTCCTCATCTTCCATTTCATCGTCTTCACCAAAACTATCAGTGGACGCACCACCAACCACATCGTCACCGCCCAATGTGGGCAGCTGGACAATTGTGGCGCCGCCTGGCGCTGCCGTCACAGTTGAGCCCGCAACTGTTGCCGCCACACTGGAGGCGCCGCTGCCATTGGCCGGTGCACCGCTCGTCGGCAACTCAATGGTCACAATGCCGCTTACGGTATTAATACTTTTGGGTGCATTCATTTTCGGCTCCTGCTTGATGTTCAACTCGATGAGGTCAACACCGGAGCGCGACTTGAAGTGCGTCTTGATGTGCTTGGACAGGTGATCGCTGCGCATGAACTTCTTGTTGCACTCGCGGCACTGGAAACGCTTCTCGCCCGTGTGCGTGCGCCGGTGGCGCTGCAGTTCATCCGAGCGCGTAAAGCGCTTGCCACAAAATACCCAGGAGCAAACGAACGGACGTTCGCCCGTATGCCAGCGCAAATGGGCGCGCAGATGCGACGTCTTCCCGTAGACCTTGCTGCAGCCGGGTATGTGACAGATGTGTTGCCGCTTGCGATCCGAATGCTTCTCCCCGTCGGTGCAGTTGGGACAGGTACAGGCGACGCGCTTCAGCCGTGGCTTGATCTCCGGCACCATGCTCTCGCCCACATTGATGTTCACATTGACACTGGTCGCCGCCGTCCCAGACGATTGCAGTGCTTGCTTCATCAGCTTGGTACGCGCCGGCGTTGTCACTGCCACCACCTGACCGGCCGAGCTCATGGTTATTTGTGTGCTAGTGCTGGTGCTGCCAATGCTGGACATGGTCAGCTTCGGCGTGGTGCGTATTGTTGCTGGCGTCGCCTGTGGTGGCAAGGCAGTGATCTGTATGGAGGCTGGTATGCTTACGGCGGGCAGACAATTGCTATTGCTTCCATCAGAATGCTGCTGTTGCTGCTGCTGCTGCTGTTGTTGTTGCTGTGGCGACTGCGGCATTATGAATTTAATTTGTTGCTGCTGCGGCTGTTGTTGTTGCTGTTGCTGCTGTTGCTGCTGCTGCTGCACCGGCAGCTGTACAGTTGTGGGCGTTGCATTTGAAATGGTCGTAACACTGCAGGTGTCTGGCGGCTCCTGCTTAATGTTTGTAATCAATTGGGTGGGACTCTGTGGCTCCTGCTTGGGCAGCATGGTCAGCGCGGAAGTTGCCGCAGTTGTGCTCTGCATGTTCTGCGCCTGATTACCCATTGCCGTCGTCGTCTGCATGGGCATGGGCAATTGTGTGAGCACCTGTTGGAAATTGGCCGCCAGATTTGCTGGCAACTGATTCGCCTGTATGATCTGCACCTGCCCCAGGCCGGGTATATTCTGTATGGGCAATGCCTGCAAATTACCCGACTGCAGCTGCATTGCAGCGGCAGCTTGGCTGGCCCGCAGTTGCTGCAACTGTTGCAGCTGCTGTGCTGGTATAACTGTCAACTGTTGTCCCTGTGCATTCGTTATTGTTATCGGTTGATTCGCTGGCAATTGTCCGCCCGCCTCGTTGATGGCATTGAGCAGCTGTTGCTGTTGCTGTTGATGTTGTTGCTGCAGTGCAACTGCTGCTGCAGCCGCCTGTTGCTGTTGCGTTTGCTGCTGCTGTTGCAGCTGCTGCGCCTGTTGTTGCTGTTGCTGTTGCTGCTGCTGCTGCTGTTGTTGTTGTTGCTGCTGCTGCAGTTGAGCTTGTGGCTGAATGAATTGCTGATGCTGCTGTGGATTCTGTATGTGTATAATATTCGCATTCGGAGGCAACTGCGAATAGTTGAGCGCATTCAATGGGGCCAACTGTACCTGAATATGGCAAAAACAAATATTAAAAAATTAGCCTGATTATTATTACTGATCTAGTTGGACGCTCACCTGCTGTATTTGTCCATTGGGCGTGACAATCTGTGCAATTTGCGCAAACTGCGGTATGATTTGCATTTGAGCAGCCGCCTGTTGCATGGAGGCAGGCAACGCTTGAATGGATTGCGTGAGATTGGACAACGTGGGTTGGGTGGCTGCCGTTGCTGGCGCTGCTGCCGCCTGCACTGGCACATGAACAGTCTGGTAGATCGTCTGACCGTTGGCCGTTTGAACAGGTATCTGCACAGCAACGGTTTGCTGAAGCGTTGGTGCCGCCGGCGCTGGCTGTGGAAATTGTAGCAATTGTGGTGCAGAGCCAGGCGCCGCTGTGCGCAGTTGAATATTTTGCAGCGATTGACCATTCTCCAGTTTAATTGTCGTTGGGGCGGCGCCCAACAGGTTCGTTATGTTTCCTAGAAGCCCATTAGCGGCAGCAACGGACGCGGGTATTTGTAGATTGGTGCCGGGAAACGTGATGGTTTGTGGTGTTGCCGTTACAGATGACGCAGCGGTCGCCTGATTATGCTGTTGCTGCTGCGACTGTTGTTGCTGCTGCTGTTGCTGCTGAGCTTGAAGTGCGGGCGTTGCGGATTGTTGGGGCTGCTGCGGCTGTTGTTGTTGTTGCATCTGTTGCTGCAACTGCGGCTGCTGCTGCTGCTGCTGAACTATGTTTGCCAATGGTATTTGTATGTTGGTGCCGGGTATCGTAAACAGCTGTGTCTGGGTGGGATCGTGTGCTTGCAGCGCCTGCGGCGCCCGCACTATTTGACCATTGGGCGTTATAAACGCCTGCTGGCCATTAATGTTCACCGCCTGGGCCGTGGCCAGCTGTGCATTCAGATTGGGTATAAAGATGGCCTCCTGGCCGTCAATATTCACGGTTTGCATGCCCATCGGTTGAACGATTTGAAACATGTTTTGGGGCAGGCCAGACACTGTGGTTGCACCACCAGCCTGCTGCAGCTGTGCTGCTTGCATGAATTGCGACGGCATCTGATGGATATTTATTATCTGTTGCATTTGTGGTGCAGGTGTGCCAGTGGGCGCATTACCAACACCGACTGCACCCGCACTGCTGGCTACCTTTGTGGAGGCGGCGGGCGTGGCAGCGGCCGCTTGTCCATTGCTATTGTTATTGACCACGGTTGCGTTCGCGTTTTTATATTGCAGCATTATTGTTAATTGGCTGCTTTACGAATATACCTATATTTTTAACGTTTTGTGGCCTTTAGCTGCGGAGGCCAGCACAAGTGCATTGGCTATTAAAGTTGGATATGTCCATTTTTTCTTGCACGGGGTAGAATTTTTCAGACAAGTTCTTTACTTTACACACAATAAAATAAGGACACACACAGAAACACATGGGGACATTATTTACACTGCATTTTGTAAATTTTGCTTGGATTAGACGCTAATTATACAATAATTAAATTAATTTTATAATTTTTAATTTTGTTTTGACAAACATAAACGCGAAAGAGAGATGAACAGAAAATATCGTCGATTCTATCGATAGTTTTTGCGAATCGACAATTAGCTATCGGCTATAGCAAGTTTTGAATAATTATAATTAGTTTTTCAAATTTTACTTTTACAGGAATGATATCATTTAATTAAGTCTTCATTTGTTTTTCTCAAACTGCTAGTTTTTTTTCCGCTAGGTTAAATTTGTTGCATTTATATATATTGCATATATTGCAGTTTCCATATCGTTGTTTAGAATTGCCCGTCTCTAGTAGCCAACTGTAAAATTATCGATACACATTAGCTTCTTATCGTTAGCAATGCATCTCTGCAATTACATACACCAAGCATACCGATAAGCCATAAAGAGTGGCGATATGGGCAAAGACGACAGCTAAATTAATAGTTTTTAATATCATAGCGTACACAACATGGAGGTGGATCAGCTTACTTTGGCCGATGTGGTCTTCGTGATAGAAAACAGTGCTATTAATGGAGCCTACTTGAACGAACTGAAAACAAACTACATTTTGCCCACACTGGAACACTTTACGCAGGGCTCCATTGATGAACGCGAATTCCTAATTGCCGAACGCTATGCGACGCTCTACGGCATTGTCACATATCGCACCGCCTCGAATCTCCTGGAGCCAGTGTGCACCACATACGGCCCATTTGTACAGCCCCAGAAAGTGATTGAGACAATTGAACGTCTGCCGCTGGTCGGTGGCGGCATGGAATCGCATGCCCACATGGCCGAGGGATTTGCTGCTGCCCATGGATGTTTCGACGATATCAGCGAACAGCGCCACATTATGGAGCAGGGCAATATACAGCGTCACTGCATATTGATATGCAACAGTCCGCCGTACCAGATGTCCGTCAATGAATCTTGGAAGTACAAGGGAAAATCGTGTGAACAACTGGCGGCCCTATTCAATGAGCGTAAAATCAATTTATCAATCATTGCACCGCGCAAAATGCCAGTGCTGTTCAAACTGTTCATAAAGGCCGACGGCGACCAGCCCATAACGACCAAAAACTATGCAAAGAACATTCGCCACTTGGTGCTACTCAAGGGTTACAGCCTAAAGGAGCGAGCGCCCAGTCCCAACAGCATGTCCGTGGGCGGCTCGGCGGCAGCTCAACATCAAATGGGCGCTCCACAGGCACAGCAAACAGCTGTGCAGGTGATGAACAATAATCCGAATGGCCAACAGCCAGGTCAGGTGCTGAACATGCCAATGGACACAACGCCTGCACAGCAGCAGCAACCGGGCAGTGGGCCACAGCAGCAGCAAGTGATGAACATGAATGCGATGCAGCAGCAACAGCAACAACAACAATCCCAACAGCAGCCTGGTGTCATGACTCCACAGCAGCAGCAGCAACTGTTGCAACAACAGCAGCAGCAACAGCAACAGCAACAACAATTTGTTCCCAATCAAATGCAAAATGCAAACTTTCAGCCAAACGTTGTACCAGGTCAGAATCGCTGGTTGTATCCCAATCAGCCCGGCCAGCGTCCTGCCTTCATGCAAACCCCGGGCAACAATATGCCGTTACAGCAAACTCAGAATCCCAATTCGGCATTGATTTCTCGTATAAATGCGCCACCTAATCAAACTGTCAACTCGCTGCAGCAGCAGCAGCTGCAACAGCAACAACAGCAGCAGCAACAACAGCGATTGCAAATGATAAACCATCAGCAATTTAATCAGCTGCAGCAGCAACTGGCGCAGCAACAACAACAGCAGCAGCAGCAGCAACAACAGCAGCAGCAGCAGCAGCAACAACAACAACAGCAGCAGCAACAGCATCCACAACAGCAGGTGAATCCCAATGCCAACACCAATATGTTGCCAACTGTTAGTAGTGCTCCTAATGTGCCAGCACTGCAGCAGCAGTCTGCGCCACAACAGCAGCAGCAGACACAGCAACAGCAACTGCAACAGCAGCAACAACAGCAGCAACAACAACAGCAGCAGCAACAACAGCAACAGCAGCAGCAACAACAACAGCAGCAGCAGCAACAACAGCAGCAACAGCCACAAGAGCAATCATCGTTACGTGAAAAAATCTGGACCGGCGTTCTCGAATGGGCAGAGAAGGCCAAAAACGATCAGCAAAAGATTCCTCATTCGCTGCAGTGCACTGTTTGCACTAACATCAAGGATGGCGAGCCTGAGATCAAAGCGGACAATTGGCCGCCCAAGCTATTGATGCAGCTAATGCCGAAGCATCTCGTGGGCAACATTGGCGGTCAGTTTCTCAAGGACTCCAAAATGGTGGTATTTCGCCCAGCGCCAGGCGAGGCTCTCGATTCATTGGCCAAAATGATGACCTCCGGCTATGCTGGCTGCGTTCACTTTTCGGCGCTGCCCAATACGCCCGCCTGCGACATCAAAGTGCTCATCCTGCTATATACGGCCGACCGCAATGCGTTCCTTGGCTTCATACCTAACAATCAGACCATGTTTGTGGAGCGCCTGCGCAAGGTGATACAGCAGAAGCAGTCTCACGGTAATATGCAGCAGCAGCAACAAATGCCGCCGCAACAGCAAATGCAGCAATTGATGCAGCAGCAGGGCAAATCGCCCATGGAACTGCAACAGCAGCAACAACAGCAACAGCAGCAGCAGCAACAAATGCAGCAGGACAATTCGCAGCAGCAACAACCACATTACAATCAATATGCACAGCTCAATATGCAAATGGGCGGCGCGCCTGGGGGCAATGGAGGTGGCGGCATGCCCATGCAGCCCCAGATGCAAATGAACATGATGCAGCAGCAGCAACAGCAGCAGCAGCGCATGCCATTGGGTGTGCCTGTGGCGAATCCCAACCTACAACAGCAACTGCAACAGGTGCCGCAACAGCAACAGCAGCGCATGGTACGTCCCATGCTGGGCAACAACAATCCGGGACTACGGCAGCTGCTGCAGCATCAAACGCCCGGAAATCAGTTTCGTCCCCAAATGGGCGGACAGCCAAATCAGATGGGCGCCGGTGGGCCCATGGTGGGCAATCGCAACTTTGACGATGGCAACTATGATTTTATGTAAAATTTTAGTATGTTTTAGTATATATTGATAGATATACATTGTCGTTCAGTATCAGTATCAGTCTACCCCTTCCCCTCAACAAAACTTGTTTGTATATTGTCAAGTCTGTCTCTCTCTCTCCCTTTGGAAATCTTCTCTCTAAAGACATTTTGTAATCATAGGTTCACATCGACGCATATATATATATATCTATTTAATATAAATGATTTTATTTTAGTACATGCCCATTCAAATACAACTGTATTAAATGCGTCTAAAGAAAATTGGTTTAATATTCTAAATAGATGAGGCATATTCGGATGGGAATTTGAATATGTGCTTGCCGGTGGATCGCACCGATGGCAGTAGCCCGGCATTGGGTATTATGTTCCAGGACAGCGACAGAGTAACATTCTTGTTATCCTTCAGACCGTTGCCATCGTCCCAGAAGTAATATTTGGTGTTCATGTTCTTGAAGTCAAGCACTGCATTGTCGCCACGAAGAATGATTTTGTCCCATAGCACGACCTGATTGAGTTGATTCGTTGCTGTTTCGTATTCGGCCGTCAAATACAAAAACAATTGCTTCACATTCCAATTAAATATATTTGTTAGATTCGTCTCCAAATCGAACGTGACATATCCCAGATCGTGCTTCTGCCTAGATGCACCGTAATCGGGTACGTTTTTCACTAGCACCCGAACCGTTTTTATATTCGCATCGGTTCTATAATCCAGAAAAACGGTTGATATAAAGCAGCAGAACGTTAAGCCGGCTAAAACGCTTAAAGAATAAGCAACCGTTGCATTTCCTCTAGTTAAAACCGTATGCATTTTGTTAAATTTGTTCAAGCAACGCAAGTGGACACGTAGTTCGCGTATGGAAAAGTATATATGTACGTGTAAGCATCGTTCATCTATCGCCGGGACTAGCGATTACAATCGATAACATGAAACAATTGAGCAGCGTAACTTGAAAATAGTGATGGTTAAATAATATTTTTTTTTAAGGATAAGCTTGAAAACGAACGATAAAGAATTGTTTTCTTTCTCATTTACCTGGGTTCATTATATTTCGACAACTTCGATAAGTGGCTAAAGCCATTTATTTATAAGAAATATAAGAGAAGTATGTTATTTATATTGAATACATCTAATATTACAGAAACATAAAAATATTATTTTATAGAATTGTAAAAAACAAAACATAAATCAAATTATTTACAAACAAATATGTATCATTTTATAAATGGTAGTATATTTTTAAAATAGTTATTTTAATCGTTTTTGAGAATTGTATGTTTAATTTATTTACAATTTTAAAAACTAAACTCAAAGTTATTATCCTACAGTTATCCTAAAAAACGCAGATAAACCATTCCCCTTACGTTACGTATTACGTAGCGTAAGCAATAGGAGCCGACTGATTCATCTCTTACGTTGCCTACTAGTTCAATTCAATATCCGGGAATAATATGGCGATCCGAAACTGTGAATGACAGACTGTGAATTTTATAGTTGCTGAAAATTTTATTTATTGGCCGAAAATTTACAACGGTAATACGCGAGTCTATTGTAAAATTATTGGATAACATATGCCCTATTGCTGTGCATGTTTTCATGTTCAAACGCAGTGTTAAATTAGTGATAAAGTGCATCGGAATAGCAGCGAAGAAAAATTTTCCCTTAGTTGCTTAATTTGCCTTCGTCGTCGTCCGCCTGCTATTCGACTTTGGCGTGCGTGTGATTGTGGTTTCGCTCAACTCAGTAGCGTCCTCTCGCTTGTGCACACACTGTGAGTGTCGCTGACTGGCTGGTTGGGCATTGTTATCTCGCTTTGGCGCGACATTCGCTCGGTTTCGTTCGCTGTAAAATGTGTAAAGTGATTTTTTGTCTGCGCTCGTTTGGGGCGAAGTCGAAAATGGTTGAAAAAGTTTTATAAATAATATATTGCAATTCAATATATACATAAATAGTAAATAATTTAA